AGAGAGAGAGAGTAAGTGGATGACTGAGTGAGTGGGAGTCTGTGTGTGTGTGTGTGTGTGTGTGTGTGTGTTTGTGTTTGTGTGTTTGTGTGTTCTAGAGAGTGAGTGAGAAAGTGAGTTGTGAAGTGAATGTGTGTGCGAGTGAGAGACCGTGTGCGAAAGTGAGTGAGTGATTGAGTGAACAAGTGCAAGGTTACGAGGGTAAATAAGGATAAGGGACTTCTGAGAGATTGATTAGCACGGCGAATGGGTGGGTCAGTAAGTAATTTGGGAATTGAGAAAACCAAACAGATAAAGGAGTCAATTTGAGAGTCACTGAGAGAAGCGATTAGTTAGTTGAGAAACTAGGACGCAAAAAAAAAGAATTAGAAATGGAAATGGCGAAGGTAAGTGGGATTTGGGTCGGGGTAATAGGCAAATTAAGAGTAGAAGAGAGAGAGAGAGAGAGAGAGAGAGAGAGAGAGAGAGAGAGAGAGAGAGAGAGAGAGAGAAGAAAGAGAAACAGAGGGAGTTGCAGAGGTGGCGACTGAGGGGCAGAGGGAGATACAAAAACTCGGAGATAATGAACACAGAAAAACAGAGAAGAAGACAAGAAATAGAAATATAACGAATCTTAACGAATAAGAGACTAAAAGTGAGAAGAAAGTATAGGCAAAGTCGCCACAGAACGAAAATAGCAAAAACAACACAGGCTCTAGTGACCTAATATACTCACCACAGGCTTGCCGTTCGCTGGACTCATGTGCGTGTCGAAGACCTGGACTTTGACGCTGCAGTCCAAGATGACCGCTCGCTCGATCCTCAACATCCACACGGCTCGGCCTGGGGTGGACAAAGTCACATCACAAACCCCCGGGCTGATTCTGCGAAGGAATACACGTCCGAGTACATCAGGGATAATGGTAAAAAAATAATCAGAGATAATTATAATCATACTGACTTATTCCGAGAAAAGATTGTAGGTTATTTTCCATCTCCACAGATGAACATGTTTGCGCCGAATTTGTTTGCCGGTTCACTTCTGAGATGATGACGCAACTAGCTTGTAAGGGCAACGCAAGCCTATAAATGCCGGTTGCACTAAGTGCGAGCAATATATCGATGATCGACAGGAAGGTATCATACTAGGCCCATGAACGAAGCCCCTGGAAAGGAATTGATGTACCTGGGTATTTATTAAATATAGGAAGATGCTGCGCACGTGAAAACTCTGTTTCAAGATATGTTTTAAAAGGACGACTAACTCTATGTCGTCGACCACATGTTCCGATGTACTGCGTCCAAAAGCTTGAAAATGTTTAAAAAAAATAAAATTATAGCAGTTTCTTGATCTGTCTACTACTACTACTACTACTACTACTACTACTACTACTACTACTACTACTACTAGACTGCTAACAATTATAATATATGGTAGCTATATATCACTCAACCCCGGTTAAAGTGCACAGGCTCTAGGCGCTTTACATGCAGAGTAGAACTCTCTTATGCTGATTTAAAAATTTCATGGGAACAAAAAATAAATCTTTGTTGGCTTTCACAGGAGTTATATTGGAACTGTCAGCTTGCACCTTCTGGCTAATCTAAACCATGTCGACGAAGGCCAAAACTGTTACAAGCACTTACTTTTTTTTAAAAGTGAAAGGGCGTGAGGTTGGAAAGACAACTTTTTCGGGGGAGGGGGGGGGGGCATTGCTAATATGTGGGCATTTTTTTATTGGGGGGAAAGTGAGGAGGTGGGAAAAATTGTAGCGGCCGTCGTCCTTAAAACTGGTGTTGTTAGGAGCATAAAACATCTGGAATGTGTTTGTAATAACTAAAACAGATTTAAAAGGTATTTGTAATATTGGAAAGGCATTTAATGTAATTGTGATATTTGAAACATTTAAATTTACTTGTAATATTTGAAACATTATAAATGTATTTGTAATACCCGAAACATTTGAAATGCATTTGTAATATTTGGCACATTTGAAATATTTGTAGCATCTAAGAGAGAAGCCAAGGACAAACCTGTGATCTCCCGCTCCCTCGAGGACCGCTGCCGGGACGTGGCGATAGAAATTGTTGCAGTGAGGATGTCTCATGGGATCTGAGAACAGAAAAGGTTGTTTTGTTTTACTTTTAAAAAGTTTTACAGCATTTGCAGCACAGTTAGGTTATATACGTGTCAAATATTAGAGGTGTTGCAAGAGAGTAACAAACACATAGAAAGAGGAGAGATAAAGGCGATAGACGTTTGATAGGAAAGAAGGAGCAAAACCACAGCATAGCACCCACCAAGGTTGAACATATTATTTTTAAGGTCACTTCAAAACTTTGAGTCATTTTGAAAAATGTTGTTTTCTCAATGCAGGCGTTTTTGCGTCCCCATTGACACAATTTAGATCAATTACGAGCCGGGCTTCCGTCGTGCCTGTCAAGAACAACCCAGATATAGCATCCCAGCAGAAAGGCTGAGAAAACAAAGGAAAATTCTCTCCCTTGGAATACGAACTAGGCACTCTGGGGTACTACGGGGAAGGGCCTAGCCATTAGACAACGCACATCGGTGATAATTTTAAGTGGATATAAAGAACCGTTGATGGTGGGTGATGTTCTTTTGCATTTTGCTGGTGATTATTGCACAAGTAATGTTTTTGCCCGGTTTTCCGCTCTGAAAGAAGTATGGGAGATACCATTTCAGTACAACGATTTATAACTTGGGTGTTAACATGTTTTTCTACTTTTATAGTAGCATTATATTGGTCATTCAAGCTGTAGTTTGTCTTTATGCTCTATGTCATCTCTCTCTCTCTCTCTCTCTCTCTCTCTCTCTCTCTCTCTCTCTCTCTCT